TGCATCTCTTAATAATCGATGAGCCCACGTATGTACACACTATCAACGACCATATCCCTTTAGTTTCACACCTTTGTCAGACCCAGAAGCCGGTTCGGCGCTTGCCGTCCTAACCGTCGCATGGATACTAATGAGCGACCTACTCGTATTCTTCTTGCCCATGAGAGTATCTCCGAGATCGTCTTTTCTCCGGGGCGTGTCGGTATAGTCTCCTCTCCTACTGGAACGTGCCATAGATCTGTCATCGTGCTCTTTGGTATACTTTTGACTGTGTCCATTTCCTTGTCCACGCCCTTTGTAAGTCCTGCTCAACTCGCTATTATTATTTTTGCTGATACCTGATCCTTTGGAAACGTCGTTCCCAATGTCCCTACTTTGTCTCTCTGGGCTTCTTCTGTGCCCATTAAATCGTCGACCACTGTTGCTGTGCTGACCATAGCCATTCTTATCATCCGTCATTCGCCTATTGTTATGTGATCCTGGATAGCCATTATTTCTTCCGCTATATCCTTTATCACTATTCACAGATTGCTGAATGTCACTTTCACTCACGTCAGGTCCCCGTTGAGTATCTGTGTTTCTATTATGATTTGATCCGCCTTTATAAGCCCCTTTATAAGCCCCACCTTTATTATGAGTTCCGGTCCCATGATCATGTATGGCTTTTCTATAGCCATATATACTGTTGTTATGATCTCTTTCCTGCGCATTACTATGCAATGCATCATTGCCATTCCTGTTGTATTGACTTTTGTGACTACTATCTCTAACCGCCCCCCTGCTACCCATTGCATTTCTTCGCCAGTCATTGTCGCTGCTTCCTCCAATGTATCTCGTCTCGCCCCTATCACTCTCCCGCCACACATCTCGATTGCGACTGTGTGCATCCTTCCCATTACTATGATGATCATTCTCGGTGTTTGTCTTTGCACCACGTCTATCATTATTTAACCTATTCTTACTATACCTGTTCTGCTTATTGGAGGTATCGTTGCCATCACGTCGTCCATGACAGTCGTGATCCTGAGCATCCCCCAGCCGGCTTTCTATACCGTTCCTGACACTAGCATTCGTATTCAGCTTCCCCGATTTATTGCGACTGATGCGCCACGAATCCTGGCCGAAGTCCTGATCTGTATTCTGTTTCCGATTGCTGTAATCGTTGTGATTATTGCCTTTGATAGATCCACTACCAAGCTTGTTCTCATAGCACGGTCCACTATCGTCACTGCGCGTACTAAAACCCTTCGTATCGCCCTCTCTGTCGACACCACTACTGTTATCTCTAGTCGATCTCAGATCGTCATTATCAAGTATACCATCTGTTGACACAGTGTGTAAGGACTCAAACGGAGGTTGCTGTACATCCCCATCGTCCAGTACATCTGCCCAGCTCGTATTCTCCTCTATTATATCGCCCATATTTTACTTCTCCACAGACTCACTTATGTGATATATCTGATTTTTTTCCTGCAGAAACTCAAAATAGTTGTGTACGAATTATATATTCTTGATTCATCTGCAGATTATGAAAGGCCTAACCATTCACAGAACATATCCACGGTGTTAAGTAGTAGTACCGTCACATCACAATTTGAGTTGAATAGATACTCACAACTAAAGGCTCTGCAAATGATAGGCGTTGCGCGACAAGAAGTGTGTATTGTTTTGTGTTGATTCTATTTTTACGTTTGTACATCCACAAAGGGTGTTTCGAAAGATGCGTTTCTGTGCATTATACAGTACCGCTGCCGTTTATATCATCCTTATTGCATATGTATATATGTCCGCTTGTACGCTTATTTGCAATACAATACATACATACTCTATACACAGGTATATTTTTTTGTCTAAAAGTTTTTTTATGGCATTCTATTTATAAATTAGTAATGATGGAATGTTTGTCATCACTTTTCCGCTGTGACGTGGAGCACTAAATTGTTCAGTTTGAGCTCTTTTAGCATGTGCACGGCGATAAGGGTTTGTTATTTAAAAAAAGTATATATATATATGTGGGATATTCTCTCTCCAGTAGAACTAGAGTAGAGGGAGAGAATGAGAGAGAGGGGGAGAGAGTGAGAGAGAGACTCTTGTGTACTTAGTTTGCCTACAATAACGTACCCGTGAAAAGGGACAGCGGCTAAGAATCTAACTGAGACTTAAAACACAGTTCGCAAGGGTAAACATGACAACTGTGAAGTCTAATTACACAGGGTTCTCAGTCCCGGAAGACAATGCCAGCATCGATCGCGTGAACTTCGCTGATATCACACCGGAACAATTCTATGCTCAATATATAGCTCTGAGGAAACCGTGCATCATATCAGGTACGTACCTTGTTGTGCGGTTAATTCTGAAAATGCGGGTGATCTATCTTGTTTGTTCCCAAAATCGAATACTCGCGCAAGTAGACTACACAGCCACACCTAAGAATCGAATACCGGTTTAGGAATATCGATCTAACGGATCGTCTTGTAGTTTGCACTCACATTTTACTCGCCGGTCGCCTAGTGATCTTCCTATCAATGTGCAAAATTTGGTATGGGTTGATACTCCAATATTCATCCTTGCTTGCAAGTGAATTATCCAGCGCATAACAGCTGCAGAGTAGTATCGAGTGCATTACGTTACTGGGCCGCTTCTACAATCTTATGGTAAATTATGCTACTTCGACCTTGTTGCACAGCGTCATGTGTTCTATTTGTCAACATAGCTCCTCTTTGAAAACAGACATCAACAATAGGAAACCCTTGCGTGTATTCTATCAATTAATTTTGAACGTTATTCGTTACTTGACGTCAGGCATCGCACAGATAATAATGGCAAAAGGCACTAAGACACTACATAGTTGACAGATAGCTTCTCTTTGCAACATTGATTTTGCACCACAACATACGCCGGACTAGTTTGCTCGCCTCCACATTACTTGAGACTGTCCGGATAATTAGTGTAGTTAGTGTGGTAAGCTTGTTTGTTTTGGCAATCACAGGGCGTAATATGGATCCTCACACTATGAATTTCGACTATTAACGTCGTGTGTAGGTACGCTTGACGATACCCAACTAGCAGGAACTAAACAGTGGACGGGCGGATATCTGCGAGAACATGCGGGGAGCGCTGAACTTCTGGTATGTGCACCTGTAAATATTTCATGTACTAACAATGCTTCTTTGACTGTGACGGTGATGGGCCATCAGATTGCTGACTAAGTGCTTCGTGAAATATCTAACTTTTACCATTGAGCTGGGTTGGTGCATAGTATCCTTTAGGCATGGGTAACATGCTGATCGTATCGTGTGAGCACACAGAATTGATACTACATATGTCTTAAGAGAGTGTGCTCCGGAAAGAAGTGCTTACGTGAAAGAAGGTGGCGTTTGTTAATCACTCAATTCTAACGTTAATGAACTAAGCGTTGATTGGTGTTGGACATGGTGGGTTGTGCCTTGTGCTGGGATGATGCTGTGTGCCGAAGGGATTGACTGATGCTTTTGCGGCTCTGCATATGTAGGATTGCTTCGTAAATTTGCTTCGCGTGGTTACTGACAGTATGTGGAGTCGTGATTCAGCTCGAACCGAAGACCAACGGGAACGGCGACCGTGATTGTAGAAGACTCATTCGGTATTAAATGCGCACAATGTGTGTGCTTTGTGATAAGAATAACGAATGCGCCGGACTGAAGCCTGCACATTGTGCTTCTCGAGTCATAGATGGCCGAGAAACCTAAATGGATTGAAGTACATATAGCGCATATCGCTCTCGAGGGGTTTGTGAGCCCTTCACCCGAATACAGTCCGCGGAATGCGTTGATAGATTCGATGGTGTGTAGGGCATCGTGTGTCGGAAGTGTGCCATCCTACCGTACAATAGACAGTAGTGGTCACCTCAGAGGGCTTCGATGGCTTTCATTATATGCATACTGGTAGATATACCGCTCATACCGATCGATATCGCGGACTGGCATATTTCCAATACAGGTGGAACGAAGAGAGACCACTCAAGGCAAATTCGGCGACGACGAAAAGGTTGAGATGACATTTGGAGAGCTATTGAACCATCTTGACAGCGGATCACAGAACTACTATCTGACTACTCAAGACATACCTTTCGAAGACGGCATTATGGGTTTATTCGGCAACCCGAGTGAGTAGTTATGTATTATACCTGTATTACTGTGTGTGCCACCACACCGAGTGGTTGAGCAGTTAGTAGCAAGACGTAGTTTGTACCGAGTATCACTGCAATATTGGTGTGGCAAGGGATAGCATCAGGAATGAAAATGGCTCGCAACTAACCCTCCTTTGCGTACCGTCTGTAAGACATGATCGGGTGGTCAAAGCTCACGTCTGTGTGTAAATACTATGTAAATACTATCTGTATGCCTGCAGTGAATGGACTTTCGGAGGACTTTCCCGAGCGACCGAGACTATCTGGCAATCTGGTACCGCAGCAGGTCAATATGTGGGTATGTATGCGGGGGCCTATCAATTCACATAGGAGGGTGATCTACTATACCCGGTAGAAACCTGATGGTATATAACAATCCCGTAGCCTCCACCGGCGTGTGTTTTGATATATTTTTATGGATATGAATGTACGGAGAGTATATCAGGTCACAGGTTTTATTCCATTCCCGATGCCTTTCACTCCCTTATTTGTCCTTTGTGTCTTGTGATAACGCAGCTGGGGGCCAGCAAAGTAGGAGCGACATCAGGTCTGCATCATGACTTCCACGACAACATATACGTGCTGCTCAGAGGCCACAAGCAGTTTACGCTCTTCTCACCCGATCAACATGCAAGCATGTATGTATATGGTACTATCCAAGACGTGCACGAGAACGGTCGGATAGTGTACAAAGGAGATCCGCTGACAAGACCGGATGGTCTGGAGCTGGACGGAAAGGTAGGCTAAGATTCGGGTCTGCATTTCATATGTATGTGTACCCACGTGAAATGGTGAATGAGTTCGGTATGTCGATTATGTGGAATCAGATAACATAAAACATTGTGTATTGTATTGTGATTTTTAAGGCCATGCCTGTATGTTTCTAATGGAGGCACACAAACACACAAACTCTGTATATAT